GGGATATGATAGCTAACATTTGTGGAGTGCTCACTTTGCACAAGACTGGTTAAGCACATTTTATGTTTTATTTATTTAACCCTCCCAACATCCCATGAGCGAGGTACTGTTCCTATCTCTGCCTTTACTGATGAAGAAATCAAGACTTAAGAGAAGTTAAATAATTTGACCAGAGTCGCACAGTTAGTAAACAGAGAAGCCCTTATCTGTGGCCAAAGTCCATGCTCCTAACCTGCACATGGCAATGGCTGTCTCTCCCTCACACATACATACCTGACGAGGGCACAGCCAGTCAGTCGACCTTAGTTCTCACTTTCTTTTTACCATTTCTATGGGCCTCAGCACCAATTCTGTGCATCACACAAAAAGCCACTCGGGCCTTCCTCACAGCACCAACCGAGCATTGGACCCACGACAACTGCTTATGAAACACTCACTGGCTTGCGACACAGTGGTGAAATGCTCTAAATAAGAGTGGTGTGTGTGTGTGTGTGTGTGTTGTGTGTGTGTATGTGTATGTGTTGTGTGTGTTATTGCTCAATCATCCTATTGTTCTGCTCCTTGTTTTATGGATAATTGGATCCTGGCTGGAGCAAATCTAAGCAAAGCAACTTTCTATGATTGACAGCAGAACAAGGAGACCAAAATCAGGACCTTATCCCCCAAATAGGCCTCACGTGCCTTCCCCGTCTCCCCTGGGACCGCTATTCTGGAGAATTCTTGAAGAGACAAAGCTTCTACATTCTTTACGGGGATGAGATTAGGGCAGAAACAGAGGCCTGACTGACCAGAGCCAGGCTCTCAGCTCGGGGTGGGTGGGCTCTGTTCCTGGCTGCTTGGCTCTTCTCTCTGTCCTCCTCAGCGATTCCAAAGTCACTGAAGGGCACCAGGGACATCTCCAGTACCTACCTGAACTACGGTTCCAGCCCACCTCATCACTGAGACCCCACGTGGGGAGACTTGATCGAAAAAGCATATGTCCAAGCACAACCAAACCTGCCAACTTACACAGGCATTAAAGTTAGGAAATGAGAAAGAGATGAGCTGTATTACTTTCCCTTCAGGACCCAAGATAGTAAGTATATTTATAGGGTCACCATGAGGTAACAGCGTGGAAGAGCTCCAAGGTTTGGCATGATCTAACCTACGGGGCTGCTTTCTTGTTTTCCAGTCTAGAATCCTCTCCTTGGGGGGCTGAGTGCTGTCTGGTGCTAAATGTTTCCAGTTGGAGAACTTCTAGCTCCTCTAGAGACACTCCTGAAGAAATTAGCAAGTGTGAGTCTTCTCTTTCATTTCACCTCGTTGCCTTACTTATGTTTTGGTACCAAGCTAAGCGAGTCCTCGCCTTGGTGGTTTACACCTTTCAAATATTATCTGTTTTTTTCATGCTCCCCGAAGTCATTTCGTCCCGGCTCCGTGTTTTTGGTTTTAATCTCTCCTCATAAATCAGTCCCTCGGTTCCCTTCATCATTTTTATTGCTTTTCTCTGAACTCTCTCCAATTTGTCTACATATTCTAGGCCGGGTGTCTAAATATAATTTGCTGGATTAAAAGCCATAGTTGGAGGGACCTCATCAATTAATCTCCTGCCCTGAATCTTTTCAAAGGGTCTTCAGTATAGTTCTAAATCCACTGACCTGTTTATGCCATCAATGCACAATAAGTATTCCCTAGAACGACCTGATAATATTGTCCTGAGGTTGCGTGGTGGGAGACTCCCTTAAAGAAGAGGCTAATTTTTTGTGGTCCTTTGGTACCCAGTAACTAAACCAACTCAGGGACCCACCTCACACCTTGATATATTTCCTAGTGAATGATGTTACGAAAGATTCCAGGGTATTTTTCCCAGGCAACCACACACTTATGGAGAAAGGTATTTCTAAGTTGGCCATTTAGGGAAGACACAGTTCCCTAGAGAAACTGTGCCATTTATGGTTCAGCCGACACGAGTTCACAAAATATACCTAATCGATTTTAAACATTCATAAATGTTTTATGATGTGGCCAAGAGTTGGGTGGAAGAGGAATCCTTGCCTACTAGAAATAACTGCACAAATTGGCACAACTTTTTTGTAGGGTAATTTGGCAACATGTGTCCCAGATTTTTACAAGTGCGTGCCCTTTGACCAATGAGTAACCAAAGAGGTTACTTCTAAGAAGTTATCCTAAGAAAATAACTGAAAAGGGACAAAAGTGTGTGTACAAGATGTTTACTCAAGTATTATTTATAGTAGTAGGAAAATATTGGCAATCACCTAAAATATTTTTTAAAAGAGTGATTGGGTAATAGAACTGAAACAGGGCACAAAGATGTATACACAAGGATATTTAGCCCAGTATTATTTATAGTAGTGGAAAAAATTGTAAACCTAAAAATCCCACGTGGGGTGATTGGTTAAATAAGTGGTGGTCTAGCTCCATATTTATTCACACAGAAAGAAGCCTATAGCATATTGAGTTAAAAGAGCATCTTGCAAAGAAGGAGCTATAGTGCAATCCCATTTTTATTTAGAAAAATCTCTACCTCTATGCTCATATATACATGGAAAAACATCTGGAGATAAATATCCTGTTAATAAATTATTCATAGTGGTTGTCTCTAAGTGGTAGGCTGAGGGGGATTTCACTTTTAACTCTTTTTTTTTTTAACATATTGCCAAAAGTTGGGTTTTGGTTTTGTTTTTAGCATTTTTTTTTTTGGCATATTATGGGTACAGATTTAAGGTTTCAATAAATGCCCATTCCCCCCCTCCCCCACAAGTCTGAGTTTCCAGCATGACCATCCCCCAGATGGTGCACATCTCACTCATTATGTCAACTCTTATTGTCTGATTCCATCTCAATGAGCCTGGCTACCTGTAAAATTAGCAAAAACGTTAAATCTTCTGTACTTTTTAAATTGAAATGTTAACCTAATCAGAATGTATGGAGCTTCTACTACATGCAAAAGATAAGTGGAGTCTCTTACCTGCCCTGCCTCAGGTAAATGTGCAGCTGTGTGCAGTGCCGCAAGCAGCGCCACGGAGCATGCGCAGGAAGACTTCCGCACACCAAGGAGGGAACCGTGGTGGGGCCTGGGAAGACAGCGCTGGGCTTGGGAGAGGAGGGGATATCCCCATATCTCAGTCAAACCTTCAAGGACAAGCAAAGTAGAGAGAGGTATTCCCAGTCCACCACACTGCCTGCTCAGTATCAAATTTATTCCTTATTTAAAGAAAGGAAGAAAACAAGCTTCCTTCCCAACATATCGTTGATCTAGGCCTCTAGTATAAATATTTCTTACAATAATCAACTATCTCGGAAAACCACGTGTATTTAAGTAAGTTTGCGTTTTATTATCGACAGAGCAGTTAGGCAATGTATACAACCCGCATTGAGTTGATTTTGCTAACAACCTATTAAAACTGAGCAAATGAGAAGATCAAATAAACAGTTCGTTGAAAATCAGTCCAATCAGCCTCACCATCAGGAAATGTCTCTCTTAAGAGTTGAGCAATAACATATGGCCAGCACTGAGCCAGGCACCGAAATAGCCTCATAAAATCCCAGCCCAGCCCTGCCCCACACTCACACCCGCAACGTGTCCAGCCCTGCATCACTGTCCCCCCGGAGCTGCTGCCTGAGTGTTGATGTGTCTTCTTCGGAGCCATTGTGAAAGACTGAGTCACATCTGAGGTTCCCAACCACTTTCTAGTGTCTTG